TAACAGTTTTAAAAATTAAACTTAGTTAAGATACAAGTTAATTTATAATTAAATTAAAAGTTAAATTAATAAAAAAGCAATTGAAAAGTTAAAGTTAAATTTTTCCACTTTAGGGTTTCTAAATAAAGTTTCTAAATAAAGTGTATGTTGTTATACTTATTTCCGTCGAGCCACAGAAAAAAAAAACGATTTCGAGGGACTTCTTCCGACATGATTCAATGCATAGAAGGTCCACGAACAGCGATTCCTTCCCGTGGCCAGACTATATTTATTATATAACAACCTGCCTTGATGTGCGTTTTTAAATTCGAATTTGAAGACATCAACGCAGATATATATTTTTCTTGGATTTACATAAGAAGCACTAAAAATGTAACTTTAAGGAAGTTAAATCAAAAGTTAATAATTACTGATAAAATGTAACTAAATTAAGTTAATATTATTTAAGTTTTTAACTTAAGTTTTATCTTTTTAAATAATAAAAACCTAATAAGACTCCCAGAATAAAAAATACAATAGGTAACTAAGGCAGATGGTAATCGGCGCAGTTATTATAGTACGCAATATATTTCATTAATATAAAATCTCCTTAATTCTAATAGTCAGATGTTTCAAAATTTGAGGATATACACCTACACCATGCAGCCCTTCAACTGCATGGACAGCTATTGGAGGTACTGATAATTGCTTTTTCACTCATTTGGCGGGGAAGAATGCATAAAAAAAGAAAATAAGAGCGGAAGTTGCAATTCATTATTGTTGATCGTCACTGATGAAGATGGCTAAAAATGATAGCCGAAACGTCTGACTATATTAGAATAAAGGAGATTTTATATATTAATGAAATATATTGCGTACTAATAACTGCGCCGATTTTTATCTGCCTTAGTTACCTATTGTATTTTTATCTTTTCAACTAGGCGTTACCCAACCCCGAATGCAGGGCTTTATGGAAAACCGACGAACCCTTCGCACCCCAACTCAACGTATTAATAATATCTTATTAATAATATCTTACAAATCCTTGGCAATAAGGTCGGCGTGCGGACGGTAGACCTTGTTATTGTTACATATGGTGACGGCCGGAAAGGGCACGTTCCATATCGGATTTGACGTGTAAATGGTCGTCACTATGGGATTGTTCGAGTAATTCGCCCACAGGCGCAGCATCAGTATGACGCAGAACACGATGGACGATATGCAAACCTGATATTACGAAAAAAAAAAACAATTACGTTTCCCGGACGGATATTACCGCTCGCTGTTCAATCTTACGCTTTATGAAATCATCATTTATACGGTCCTCACCACGAACCAGAGGACACTCTCGATTATCGACGATCCGCCCATGCTTATGTAACGAAAACCATGCAGATTCGTATTGTCGCAATAGACGTAAAACCACCCAAGGTACTTTTTCACCCGCACGTATGCCAGGCACGTGCGATATCCTATATCACGACATCCACAGGATATTGATTTGTTTGACACGCCGAATAGTGAGAGATTAAGTAATTACACAGGGTTGCCACAAACTCTTCATTCTAAAATTTCGTGATTTTCCCTGACTTGCAATAATATTAAAAAATTTGTTTGTATGTTCGTTTGATTTGAAAACCGTTAAATACTTTGTTGAGAGAGCAATTTGACATAGCAAAATGTAAATTACTGTTGTTGACATTGCTTGCACTTAATATTGTTAAGTTGCTAATATTTCCTTATCTTTTTCTTACAATACAAGAAACATGTAAATATAGATTCTTTTTGATCCTGTTTGATAAATTTGAAAAGGATAAATTGTGGTCTAGGTTTAAAAATGGAGTTAAAGTTAGAAATAAGAATGTTTATAGAATTTGAATTTTTTAGGGATAATTTAATAATTTATTGATAGCGGAGTTTATTTATTTAGGAAGATATATTAAGGAGTTAAGAAAAAATTAATTAGAATATAGATAAGTAAAGTTATAATGATAATATTAGTATAAATAAGATAAATAGATTATTTAAAAATAATGGATTATATTAATTTTAAAAATTCGGCAAATTAGAGTTTAACTGTTTAATAAAAACATAGTTTTTTGATTATAACTTAAAATATGTCTATGCTCTATGAGTCTAATCTGCTCTATGAGTAGTATAACTTAAATGGCTGCAGTATTTTGACTGTACCTACAAAGGTAGCATAATCAATTGCTTTTTAATTGAAAACTTGAATGAAAGAAAGGATGAAATTTTAATTATTTTGGAATCTCCGACTTGCTATTATACAAAGATTTACAAACTTGAAAGAAGAATTACAAAAATATGAAGTCAATTTTAATTTTATTAATTTGTTCACAAGTAACACAAGAAACTTACAAGTTAAAAAAAACAGTTTTAAATAAATTTAAAATTTCAACAAAAAAAATAGTAGACAGGTTGAAAATTCTAATGCTCTTAATAAAGCTTTTTAAACCTCTATTAAAAAGAGAATTTACATTAGCTAACAAAACTATATAAGTGTGTAATATACACATATTAAACTTCTTTAAATTTAAGAATTTTAATTTTCCAGAAAATTTTGTAAAGTTCCTTGACTTTTCCCTAATTTCGTTTTATGGCAACTCTGTTACAGATACCGATACTGATAAACATTAATAAGCAATATTAATTAGATAATAAATTAAAATAATACAGATGTCTCACCGTGTCTTACGCGGTCGAGTTTGGATTTCTTATTCCAGCGTGCCTTCATGTTTCCTGAACGCTATCGCGTTAATGCTTATATGAAAAACAAACTGGCGCACGCCAGGGGAACGCCGCCGAATGACTAGATATATATTGCCGGACGCGTACTGTAATTTCTTCGGCCAGCGGCCACTCTTCATTTCCGGCCCGATCGCTGCGTGTCATTCAATTTTCTACCAATATCCCTAAGTAAATTTGATGGAATGTCCATTAAAGTCCCGGTAATGTTCATACCTGAACGTCCACTCTATTTCGATTATCCGCTCGCGAAGGTCGCGTATTATTTATTTACCCCGGTATCCCACGGTGTGAAACTCTATAATTTAAGATTCATAATCGACTAATTTTCCGATAAGTACTTGAGAAAAATTACCCCTTTTCAAAGGTGACAAATTTTTTTTTCCATAATTATATATTTGTGCAAGTCCAAAGTACTTTACACACTTGTCGCAATTCTAATAAGAGTCCGGCTAATTTGCCGCTAAGTAATTGGAACATGCGCGGCTATTACTCTTCTTAAAAGCGTGACGTTTGACAAATTTCGTACGTTCAGATATATTGTCGGTTACAAATTCAACACGCAAAGCATTTTATCAATTTTGACAAGAGTTATTTTTACTTACAAAAAAAAAAACTTTCAGTTGGTTTCCTATTTGCAAGAATTATTAATATTCATCATGCCGGGGGATAGGAAAATCGTGATGGGAAATGTCGAGAGGCAGGTACGAGTTTTTAAAAGCCAGCCGATTTCACGGCTGACTTGGCGAGATAAAAATAAGGACGCTTCTCCTTTGTACTAACTTTTATTTGACAAATAAAAAGTATCCGTTACAAATAATTGTAAACTGTTTTTATCTTATACAGTACACGTAAACGTGATACGTACGAGTGTATAGCGCTCTCTCTCTCTCTCTCTCTCACTCTCTCTCCCATTTTTTGTTGTAATCATACGTTATATCTCTTTCAACCCTCTCGCGATTACCAAAAGCTCAGTTGCAACAAACCGGTTTATCTGTCGGGCGTATATCGATACTCTTTTTTTCTCCACACGCACTCGAGACACGCACACACACGCACGTGCCTATACACGCATCCTCACGCACTGTCCATTCATTCACGCGTGCTTCATATACGGCCTCGCCGTAGTGAAATGGGTTATAGTTAACAAGTGTATGTAATGTGTTATTTGTGTTTGACGAAAAAAATGCATAACACGCGGACGAAGCTGCGCGCGGTACAGTATTTTGATTCATTTCAACGTAGTTTCTTTTTGTTTTTGTTTCATTTGCGGTCTCTCATTCGCACGTCTGTTCGAGCAAGGGAAATCGCGCGACTCCCTTGCGGACCTCGGCGGGTTCGCGGGTGGACGATTCCGCGGCGCTGTTCACAGATCGACACATATTGTCACGACATTTTCTTTAACGTTGAAACAATATTACTTGATCTCTCCAATAATCGAAAAAATAAATATGTACAAAAAAAAACAATATCTAACGTGAGCGTCGCGCTAAGAAAAGAACGTAGTCTTCTTTCGGTGCTCGAATTTGAACAATGATGTGGGTGCGCGAGATCTCGCACCAGAATCGAAAAGTAATTAACAAAGGGGGATAAAAAAAAAGAATTAAGAAACAACGTGATGACGGGCAATCGCGCTCGTTCCTCTGTGAACAGCCGATCGGGGAATCGCTTGTCGCGAGAATAACGTGAGATCTCTCCAAATCTGTGAAGCCCATCGAGCGCGCGCGCGCGCGCGAATTTACATACGAATCGTGACTTCACTTGACATTTAACGTGCCGAGCGTATTATTGGCCCGGGGCTCCTTTTGTGTATACGTATGCAAATCCACGCGCGAGACGATCCCGAAAAGTGTAAGCGGACTGCGAAAATGCGTCATCTATGCTCTGCCTACTACTGGTTGGTACAACTCTGTATAATGGACACCAAGTCCACGGTCAAGATGCTTAAAAATGCCCTTTTGTAGGCACCCTGATTAGGGGTGACGACTACTGACCAGACTAAAATGTACTTTCAAGAGGGGGGGGGGGCGTTGGAGAAGGGGAGGAGAAAGAGAGAGAGAGAGAGAGAAAGAGAGGAGAGAGGAAAGGGTGTTACGAGTTAATTCGGGGCTGACCATCGGTACGCGGGGAAAATTGGAAACGGCGATTAGAAATGTCATTACGTTGACCATACCACATATCCTTCTCTTTTTTTTTGTCTTCTCATCCGTCGAAAAGGTTGTACTGGCTTATTGTAGTGACCGGCATACAACACGATACAATTCAACCCTCCAACAAGTGCGGGTTCAAAAGGGGTGACATCACGTCCGGGCGCACTCGCTCGAGTGTTAAATCGACTTATCCCGGG